TACTCGCGATCAAACTGATCAAAACTTGATCATTCCAAGCAGAACCTCTTCTCTCCATTCGCGAATCACCCAGCCCATTCCGTCTACCTTGAACCTCAAGCCTCAACAACGGACACCAAAGACACTTACTCATGCCTATATGGTATGTGGTGTAGGAAGAGAGCCATCACAATGGGTGAAAGCACCTGCTCCAGCACAGGGAAAGATTACGCATATGAAGGGAGCAGTGGGACAATTTTGGCTACCAGAAATTCTTGGAAGTAGTCCTAGATTAGAGCAAGATAATGAGATCGCAAGAGCTCTACACGCAGCTATGCGGGTACGTAGTTGGGAGAAGAACGTGAATCTACTCAATGCTAATGCATCTTCAGGCTTGCTTCCCTCACGATGTGGAAATCTGCACTGGACGTAGCCAGCCACACTGCGTGCACCACTCATTCGTTCTTCAACAAGATTCGTCCCACACACTTTACGGTATTGCCCTACGAGTGTGGTCAAGAGCGGACGAGAAGCGTGCGGAGACTATTCGCGATCTTCGAAGACGAACCGAGTCGGATTTCTATGATTCGGCTGACGAAACCTACTGGATCCCTTACTGTCTGTCTTTCCTCTCTAGATATCCTCTGTACAATCTTTTGGGTGACTACCTTCGAGGCATGTGGATCCACTGGAACAAGGCCACCAATTTGTTCCACGCTGAGGAGGTGTCTCGTATCCTAAGCTTCCCGGCCCCAAGATTGAACGATCTTGTCCGGATTGATATGAAGGATTACGCTTTGTGCTACCAGTTCCCATCTTCCCCGACTGGATTCCAAAATTTCGCCATGTGGCCATTGTTTTCTTGCTTATCGATCCCAAATATTGTGGGTGTAATTGAAGCAGCCTTGTCACCAACTCGCCGCATCATTTTCGTTAGTCACTACCCCGCCATGCTTACCGTCGCTGCTGAAACGATCCGATACTGCGTTCGAGTTTACGAATGGAGCGGTCTCTATGTTCCAGTCGTGCATGCTAGACATGCAAAGGAGCTTGTTCAGGAGCCTGGCCCATACATTCTCGGTATCACAGCGGAATGCCGTACCCTATTCACTGCACCTACAGACGCCTTGGTGGTAGATTTGGATCGCAACTTTGTCCTGACATCAAGCCCACCTACTGCACTCACCGCAGGTCAGCGCACAAAGATGGTTAATCGCATCACGCAAGCTCTTGCTGGAGATGTCACACCGTCCGGTGTACCACAACATCTTCGATCCGCATACGGTGGCGGAAAACTGGTTCCGGCTGGTCAAATAATTGTCATGCGTGGGGAAGTCGAGTCAATTCAGGATCCCGAGTGGTGGAACCAGGATTCTGTGATGGCTGTCATGGATCATGTCTGTGAAAAGATGGTAAGTTTAGATCTGATCTCATATATTCAAGGGGGTTATATGTCGCATGTTGCTAACCACGTTTCAAAACAGGGACGGAACACTGGCATGAAAGCAGTTTTCGGCGGGGCTGTGAAGAAGCCACTCATGACCAAGGTCTCGATGAGACACTTGAACGAAATTGTTCGGGAACGCAATCAATATTCCAGGGATGCACTCGAGGCTTGGCAGGATTTCATCAACCTCAAAGGTCGCATGGACACCGAGCTCGGTAAAGTCACCAAGCGTAATAACTTCCTGGTCGAGGAGCTTGAAAGCTGGAAGCAGCAGGTATGTTTCTCACCGGAGAGTACAAGGTCTTTAACACTAATACTGTTCAGTTTCTCAAATTCCAGGCGTTTGCCGAGCAACTCACCAAAGAGACCCAGGACCTTAAGGTTAAGATTGAGAACCACAAGCGTGAGAACAGACGCCTTACTGGCCTTATTGATCAACAAAAGGATGACGCTGCACGTCTCAATGTTCGCCTCTCCGGCACCGAGAAGCAACGTGATGACGCTCTCGAGGCATTGGTTCTCCAGCAAGAGATTGCTGAGGAGCTTGAGCGTGAGCGAAAGCGCAACAAGAAGGAGCTCTCTGCTCTTCAGCACACTAATGTTACTCTTCTACGACAACGTGACGAGGCACAACGTGTTGTTCTACACTTGCGCAGTTTGATCAGTGGTCAGGCTCATCATATGGAACATCTCGTTTCATCATTGGGCAAGAACCCCGACTTGGCCGAGTACATTGAGGGTGGTTATGATGATGAGGAAGGTGAGCTCGATGATATTGCTGAAGAGGGCAAGGTGGAAGAAAATGGAGAGGTTGCTCCACGTGCTACCAGATACACCAAAGTCAATGGCGATGATATGAGCCCAGAGATGGAAGCTAGACTGAGAAACGGTCTTCGCAACAGCAAGCGATACAGTCAGATGAGCATTGTTGACGTTGCCGATCGTCACCTACGGGACAAGACTGATGCTATCGCTCACATCATTCGCAACATCAGCGATCAATGCGCTGCGGCTGTTGAAGGTCTCCAACTCGCACACGATGCTGAAGTTGAAGCTGAAGAGCTTGCTCAGCACAATCAGAGAAACGCGGCTCGTGGCCACCGGTCGAGCAATCTCTCAACCGTCACTGCCAGCGATGATGGACAATCCAACCAAGGATCCGAGATGGGTGACGATAGCCTCCTTCACCCAAGTGGACGTACATCGAGTATTCCACCAACCCCAGATCTCATTCACAACCGATCGAGCACATCAATGTCAATTGCTAGCACAACGACAACACCTGAACGGAGTAGTCAGCAATACAACATCGGACAAGACATCCCGACCAAGATCGTTGAGGATAGTGATGAGGAAATCGAGGGAAGGAGTGAGGGCGAAGTCGAGATTTCCACTAAAGCTGGCTTGATTCACCGACCGGCTGGTGCCAGAATTTCCGCTCTTGGAGGTCGCTGAGTGATCAAAATTTGTCTTTGATAGCATTTTGTATTTGTTTTGGAGGGCGTTCAGGCGAAGGCGAACATTACTGCCGGACACGCTACATCTCATTGTTTCTGTAAGTAAAGGATTCTTATATTTCTGGAGATGCAAGGAAAGGATTTGAGAGCGCAAGCCAGTGGGAGGATTGTATTTAACAAGAAGAAGCACTTAAGAGAGGACACCAGCGGAGGACTTATGTAGTAAAAGAAAGTGATGGGAAGGAGAAGTTTCTATGGTAAGGCTAGCACATCTATCGCTAACCTGCCCTTTTGTTGACTGATCGTTTTTAATACCCGGAGTATGAATTGTTAGGGTTGGGAGGTATATTTTAGTTATACTTTCGAAATACAATAAGCTGTTTATTAGTTATACTACGTTTCCTCTTTTCCTATTGATGAGGAGGCACAGTAAAATTTCCCGAGTTTAGGTGCGAGGAAGGGAGCAGGTTACTAGTTGTGTGACTGGGAGCCTCATTTCGATCCAAGACTCTTTTGAGTATTGCTTGCATGAGGAGCGGGCGATTATTGATGGTTTGTTGCATTTCGTAGTTCGGTTGGAGATTTTGCTCCGTCTCTCTCCTGACCTTGGGTGGACGTGGAGGGCTCGCTCCTGATCTGATGGTTGGCGGGATTGAGATGTGATGTCATGTGGGGTTATGATCGGTGGTTATGGTTGGTATGTGGATTGAAGGCCTACGAAGATCATAAGATAAAGGATATGGAGGATGAGAAAGCGAGGAGAAACCGAAAGAAAATGTACTCAGATTTGGAGCGAGATGTTCAATAGGTCGTCGGCCAGTTGAAGATCGGATGGATGAGACGATGAGGCATTGTCAGTTCATGTATATTGAACCAAACCAGCAGCGAGCGTGACCATTAAGCCTTTTTGCAAGATGGGAGTCAGAAATATAGGAATTTGCATCTCATCTTCATCATTTCACTTTTAAAAGTGTAAAAGCATTACCGGCTTCTAAGCGTCTCAGCTGTGCCTTCTGGAATGACTTAAACCATGGAACCTTACGCCCCACTTTAAGGCCGTCTCATTCTCGAGATATTCCGCCACTGTCTCTGCTACCTTCCGCTGCCTAGGTCCCATTCCGTCCCCTTTTCTATTCACGGGAGGCTAAAGTAGTCTCCGACAGAGACCCAAGGGAAACAGTGCTTCGAGCCGGCACGTGACGTAAAGCCATCTGCTACCCGCTTTCAACATCAGCTCGAAAAATCAACATTTTGATCTCAAACATTCTGGATCCTTCTCATCAGGAAAACCGCTCTCTCCCCCCCTCTTTCTACATTCCTTTTTCCCACCGTTTCAAACGGTCAAACCCACCTTCCCGATTGGCCTCTCAGTCCCAACCTCCCCCCTCACAACTCCTAAACACATACCGATACCATATCAGACCTCCCCCGCTCTTATCTCCTCTTACCCCAAGCACTGTCTTTGCTTTTTTAATCTATTTGAGTTCTACGTGCCGTGTGCGCCAGTTTGTTGCATATCGCACCCAAGATGTCAGTTGCAGATCAGGCGTTTTGTATGTCTGTGCGTGGAGTGAGGTATCTGTTCCCCCTCACGAAGAGGGGTGATCGTGGTTGGTTAATGACGCTTTGATCTGGATAGACCTGGTACAGAAGCCCTTGTCGATTTTTTAGATTTCGAGAATGGTGATGGATGTAGCAGGGACATCGCAGTGCTGCCATTTCGAACATGGGACCGTACTAACAGGGAGACCGTAGTCAAGAACTGCGGAGGTACCGACAAGGAAATCGTTGTGGGAAAAAGAAAGTGGCGAAGTGTTAATATCGGACCGAACGATCGCACGGCAGTTGATATTAAAGAATATATGTTTCAAGATTGATCTCGATTTGCGATCTTGCATACGGGGGAGGAGACTTACTCGTGTGCAGAGGAGGAGAGTCCACTTGAAAAGGGACTTCCCCACAATGACTTTCTCGCTTAGTAAAAATCCCCGATGTTCCGAAACAGAAAAAAAAAATAGACTAATCAAATCAACTCTAGTGGTGATGTCTTCAACAGGTAACACTTGAGAGAAGGGAAAAAGAAAAAAAGAAGACCAAAAAAATATCTACTACACTTGTGTCCTCGGTGAGGTTCGAACTCACGACCTTTGGATGGCCAGACTGTTTACAGTCATGTCATATGTATGCATATGAGACCAACGCTCTAACCAACTGAGCCACGAAGACTTTGCGTGATTTGATTACTAACCCCTCTATTGTAGTTTATGTATGAAGCATGAGCTCGGCCGGAATTATGGAAAGGAAGGAATAAGTGGGGTGGGAGAGGAAAGCTAGTAGTGGGGAATGATTTTGGGGGGTGGGGGACGAGGCGCGTTCCAAGCTACTGGAGAAAGGGACAAACAACTTTCTGACGAAAACCCCAAGCCACGAATAGTGAGCAAAGGTTGAGAATTGAAACTAGGACAAAAATGCCATTCAATTGCGGTTTAGAGGAATAGGGGAAATTTATTCAAGGTAGTAACTTGACATGTGTAAAGAAGAGATGTTCTCAGATCATACAAGCTTTATTGATGTGACCAATCTATTTAGGTCCCTCCACCATTATATCTATACGCCACTCTTAAAAATGATCAAACAAGCCTCTACTCTATTGCCCATCGTTAGGGCGGGGTGATAAACACCAACAAAAGAAATCCATGCACTAGTTTCGCGTTTATGCCCAAATCCCAAAATACATTAAAAATAAACGACCGTTCATCCATCTATAACCCATCTTATCTACACACAGCTTTCCTCCCCAAGTCTATCTACTCTTTCTTATCCTTTTCCTTCTTTGGTACTTTCGGTACCCGCGCAAGCCAATAGAAGAAAACCGCGGCACATGCATTAAAAACAATGTACACCCACAAAATACCAAAGTTCCTCCAGCGGTCCTTATAGTATACGTTTACTTGAGCTAGGAAGGAGTTGGTGTCCGAGAGTGAACAGAAGCTGCAATCGGTTGTTGCGTTGTTATCTAGTAAGTAGCCTCCTGCCGCGGCCGTATAGTTTTGCATGTACTGGTAGCATGTCAAAGGCGGGGTTGGGTTGAAATGCAGGTACTCGTAGTCGGCGCAAACAACTTTTTGGTTTGCTATTCCGGTGGACAGAACACCGCTAACGAGGTATGTGAAAGGCGAAACTCGATACATGAAAATCCAGAAACGAGGGAATTGGGACGGCGATGCCAGGACACTGGAGATGTTAGCATTGCCTCATAGAAGGGCAATTAGGATCACTTACCCATTGAAGATCAGAGTAAGCGAGAAGAGAAGTTGAGCGAGGTTACCACCAGCTTCAGCAGACTCCATCCCAGCAATAACCATATTCGTGAATGTTGAGGTGAACAGCAGGAAGGCAAGGATGAATAAAAACATCAATCCTCCTCGTTCTGTAACACTGTCCGTTGGGACAGCATTTTTATACAGTCCAATTGGGTAGTACCTATATCAATGTCAGCTACCAGTACAACTACTCCTCTTACTCGTGGAGGTCAGTTGTTTGCTTTGGCTGCTCCTTGTGGGCCCCACAAGAAACATCCACAACAACAGAGGTTGCTATTGTTGAGAGCCAATGCACGACTGTCTACATCATGATCTCTGGAATCAAGAATAGTAGAATGCGACAATGGCCATAAGCGCAACATTCTCGTTGTGATTTTTACTGCTAGAACCGTGCCCAGTTCTCACAGACACTCTAAAGAAAAACACGGAATTGAAAAAGAAGAAATACCACTCACCAACAGAAGAATATCAATACGCCCATAAGGAAGTTCCATGGTATCTCGACCAGGATGTTCGATAAAATGAATACTTGCCAAGAATAGGTCTTCGAAGGGCGCTCTCGGACCTCATAAAGGGCACGTTGAACAACGAAATGAGGCATGATCTGTTGAACAAGATTACCGAAGATTGTAAGAAGCATGAAGATAGCGAAAAGTTGATTTTGCATTCCCTGAAGGGAGGTTGGAGAGTCCCAGAACGAGAAGCCGATAAACAAACCCTACAATGATTAGCGCCCACAACGCCAGAAGAATCATGACGACTTACAACTGCAACACAAAGAACGGTTTTCGAGTACAGATAAGAAGGAGTACGCCAGTATTGTTCGAAGACACGTTTGAGGACAGTCCACAGCTGGTTACTGAAAGTGGCAGCATATGGGTCAAGAGCATGCTCATCTTGGATAGCCTCTTTTTCAGACAGTTCTGCTTTCATCTCTGCAAGAGTAGCCTTGACTTGACGTCTTTCCTCAGAGTGGTTCCATACTTCGGGCCAGTCGATTGAAGTTTCAGATCCTGGAGCAGCACCAATGACTTCGAGCATGACTTCAGCCGGGTTTTCGTCGGCACCGAACTTTCTTGAACCGTTTCTTTCAAAATAATCGGTCAAAGCCTTTGAATCCTTGCCGATATCTCCGAAATAAACAGTTTTGCCACCTTTAGCGAGGAAAAGTAAGCGATCGAATTCTTGGAAAAGGATAGCAGATGGCTGATGGATCGTGCAGAGAATAGCTTGACCGTTATCTGCCAGTTTTCGGAGCAGTGCACAGATCGACCATGCCGTTTGACTATCAAGACCGGATGTAGGCTCATCAAGGAAAAGAAGTAAGGCAGGCTTGGCGGCAAGTTCAACACCGATCGTAAGTCGCTTACGTTGTTCAACGTTGAGACCTTCACCAGGAATACCGACCACAGCATCCGCATATGCTTCCATTTCCAGGACTTTGATGACTTCGTCAACATATGAAATCTTCTCTGCGTGTGGAGTCTTCTTCGGCTGTCGTAGAATTGCGCTGAAGGTCAAGGCTTCTCGGACTGTGGATGTAGCTAAATGTAAATCTTGCTGCTGAACATAACCAGTTTTTCGTTGGAATCCAGTGTCTCGTTGGCGACCGTCAACGAGCATCTCACCAGTGACCACCCCCATAGTAACACGACTAGCAAGGACATCAAGCAAAGTAGTCTTTCCGGCACCAGATACACCCATAAGAGCAGTCAAAGTCCCCGGTTTGACCCAACCATCGACATCGTCTAAGAGTCGACGAGGCTCCTTTTTGATTTTGATGTCGTAGTTAACACCATCCCAATGGAAAACAGCCGTCTGCTTTTGAATATGTGCTGGAGCGTCAGGAACAGTCTTAGTTCTAGCAAGTACCATCTCAGTGTTGACACGATCATCCTCAATGGCTCGAGATTCGACATCCTTCTTCTCCTCTGCCGCAATATCTGGGACTTTGCCTCTTCTGAAGAGCAAAACCTCACCCTTTGACTTTTTAGCAGAGATGAATTCAGTTGCGGTAAGATAGACAGCGCATCCAAAGACCATGAGCGCGAACATAACACCCAAGTTTCTGTCGAAAACGGTCAGTCTTTTGGTCTCAAACAGGCTACATAATTGAAAGAAACTACTAACCTCCATAGGTGAGAGTGATAGTACTCGTAGTTGACATTGATATAGGCATCACCATCAACAAAGTCGGCGCCAGCTGCCGCACCAGTGGTAGAGCAGATTCGTTGATCAGGTGCTACATTCATATATGTGGGGCCCATGGGAACAAAGACTGAACACTCAATCCTTCGGTCATGGAACTAACTAACTTAGTGGCGAACATTTAAACTTGTAGGAATTGACATACCTCATTGATCATGAGAGCTTCAAAGGCGTAACTGACGGGATCGAGGTAATTAATCCATCTGAACCACGGATGCATGCCTCGAGTTGGGATGGCAAAACCAGTGTAAATGACCAAGGCGAGGATGAAAACTGCAGCAGGAGCCATAGCTTGTGCCAATGTTCTCGACAAAGCACCGATTGATCTGAAGTACATAGACATAGTTAATGTGCACACGAATGTGAATAAGAAGAAGACGAAGAAGTGCTCTGGAGTGCGTCGAAGGTTCGTCATGAAGTAAACAACGAGATCGAAGATAATTGTCGTACCTGAAGGCAATGTTAGCTACCTGTTCCACAGAACTTGGTGTAGATGGGAGATGTTTACCAATCTTGTTCGGCAGATCGCAAATCATGGACGCTGTGACATATTAGCCTTCCCCTGCTGTCGACGTATATCTGGAATTTTCATACCAATAGCTTCAGAGAACGGGTGATAGAAAGCGTATTTGGCTTGCTTTTCAACAATACTGATAGCTGGATTAGCAGGTATCGCGACAATACGATAGAGACACTCTTACTCTCGTTGAGCGTATAAAGTCAAGATCTAAATACTGTCAGTATATGTTTTGCGGAGATAGCTGAGTTACCAACCTCTAAGAAACTCTGGAAAGCCGCCATTAAAATTGAGAAAAATAGAAGAGCGCCACGGCTGTAAAGCGTGGAGGTAGTATTTTGAAGATTGTAGAACACACTACTAATAATTAATGCCAAGACAGCTTGTCCGAACAGGCCAGTGAAAAAGAGAGTGGCGTCACCACGCAATCGCAGGAAGGCTCGATCAGTACAGAGCTTGATCTGCATAGGTACTGAGAGTGTGTATGGGGACTTGATGCGTCTACATGGCAGTTAGCGATGTGTTTCTAGGGTAAAATGGTCAACTCACTGTGATTTAGCTTGCGCAGCTCTTCGAGAATCTTTGAATTTCTCCAGTTGTTCACCGCCAACAGGATATAGCTGCTCAAACTCTTCAATTTCTCGAAGTAACAGTGCTCTGTCCTCACTCTTTTGCCAGGCTTCCGCAAACTCATCTGGTGTAAATGGTGTCTTGCCTTCAAAGCCTGCCTTAACAACACGCTCAGCTGGACTCGTCAGGGAGGTCAAGAAATCGGCTGTAGTTTGTCGAGGAGGGCATTCGAATCCCATGTTAACGAAGAACTCTTTGGCAGCATGGATGTTACCGAAGTAAATCTGTCTACCTTCGTACAAGACAGCGACCTTGTCAAAAACATCATAAATCGACTGCGATGCCTGGTATATTGCCACAACAGCAGCACAACCAGCCATGTCTGTTGACAATCTCAGGGTCTTGACAAACTCCAGAGCTGTGGCACTGTCCAGCCCACGAGTACTGTTGTCCCAGCATTGCAGTGGGCTGCCACCAAGTGCTGCTTCTGCAATACTGACACGCTTTCTCTCGCCACCACTGACACCCCGAATGAAATCATTCCCAACCTTGGTGTTGAGCGTATGAGTGAGTCCGAAGACAGCCATAATCGTATCCCTCATGTGAGT